TGGAGTTGGGGACCCTGGGGCTGGAGGTGCCGGTTATGGGGGTGCTGCTACTGGTGGCGCTGGAGCTGGAGGTTCTGGAGCTGCTGGAGGTGCTGGAGCTGGAGGTGCTGCTGCTGGAGTCACTGGAGCTGGAGGTGCTGCTGCTGGAGGCGCTGGAGCTGGAGGTTCTGGAGCTGCTAGAGGCGCGGGAGCTGGAGGTGCTTCTGTTGGAGTCGCTGGAGCTGGAGGTTCTGGAGCTGCTGGAGGCGCTGGAGCTGGAGGTGCTGCTGCTGGAGTCACTGGAGCTGGAGGTGCTGCTGCTGGAGGCGCTGGAGCTGGAGGTTCTGGAGCTGCTGGAGGCGCTGGAGCTACTGGTACTGGTGGCACTGCACCGCCGCGACTGTTTTTCACTCCGCTGTCACCGTCGTCTCTGCCACCGCCTGAATCCGTGCTTCGCCATGTTCTTAGCCTCCCGTCTTCTACTGGCCTCCCGTTACAGCCCGGCGCACCACTGCCTGCTCCTTTTCCTTACACTGAGCTGACAGACTCGCTTACAGAGCGTCGCGAGCCTGCGTCCCGTCCTGCCTCGCCTGTTCGCACTGGTCGCACTGGTCGTCGTGTTCCTCGTGAGCGTCCTCCCACTGTCCCCGGCACGCACACTATGGCACTTCGTCCTTCCTCTGTTCCACAGTGTGTTCCCCTGCCGTCTCCTCCTGCGTCCTCTCTTCCTGACATTTCTGACCCGCCGTCAGACCTTGCTCGTGCTGCCAGTCCTACTGTCACGCGTCTGCTAGCCACTGTTGTCACTGACCCGTCGTTTGAGTCTGCTGCTGCGTCTGCCCTAGTTGCTGAGCTTGTAGATTTTGCTGCCGCTTATCGTCTCGACTACGCCGCTAGTCTTGTTGCTGAGTCTAAGTTTGTCTGTCCTCCGTCCGTCGGGGGTGAGTGTGCTCTTGGCGCGGACGTCCTTGAGGACAGGCAGGAGGACTTTGAGTGTCTTGCAGCCGCTGCGCCTCATCTCGTGGCCATGATGCTTGCCCCTGAGGGAGACCCGGATGCTCCAGACATCCCGACCCCGCGCTCTTACGCTGAGGCGATCGCGGGTGAGTACTTCTCTCAGTGGCAAACAGCCATGGACACAGAGATGGCATTCTGGAAGTCCACAGGCACTTACGTCGACGCAGTTCCCCCTCCTGGGGCGAAAGTAGTCGATGGCATGTAGATTTTCAGGGTGAAGCGGCCGCCGGGTTCTCCGCCTGTCTTCAAGGCTCGTTACGTTGCACGAGGCTTCAGTCAGCGACAGGGAGTTGACTTCTTCCAGACCTTCTCCCCCACCCCGAAGATGACCACTCTTCGGGTGCTGCTGCACGTTGCCGCTCAGCGTGACTACGAGCTTCACTCTCTGGACTTCAGCACAGCGTTCTTACAAGGCAGTCTGCACGAGGAGATCTGGCTGCGCCGCCCACCTGGCTTCACTGGGTCGTTCCCTCCTGGTACCCAGTGGAGCCTCCGCCGGCCAGTCTACGGTCTCCGTCAGGCGCCTCGCGAGTGGCACGACACACTGAGGACGACACTTGCGGCTCTTGGGTTTGCTCCTTCGACTGCTGACCCGTCACTGTTTCTGCGCACCGACACTTCGTTGCCGCCGTTCTACATCCTCGTGTACGTTGACGACTTGGTCTTTGCCACTGCTGACACTGAGGCTCTCGCCCTTGTGAAGTCGGAGCTGCAGAAGAGACACACGTGCACTGACCTGGGTGAGCTGCGCAGCTACCTTGGCTTGCAGATCACCCGGGACAGAGCACGGCGCACCATCAGACTGACTCAGTCACACATGGTGCAGCAGGTCCTTCAGCGCTTCGGCTTCACTTGGTCCTCGCCACAGTCCACTCCCCTGGCTACAGGTCACTCGCTCTCAGCTCCACCTTCGGACGAGTCCGTAGAGCCGAGTTGTCCGTACCCAGAGCTAGTGGGCTGCCTCATGTACCTGATGACCTGCACTCGTCCTGACCTTGCGTACCCTCTTGGCCTTCTGGCACGCTACGAGGCTCCTGGTAGGCACCGAAATGTGCACTTCGATGCTGCAAAGAGGGTACTACGCTACTTGTGCAGTACATCGGGCATGGGACTCGTGCTTGGAGGGCGGAGCTCAGTTGTCCTCACTAGGCACTCAGACGCTTCTTGGGTTGACGACCTGGCTACGCAGCGGTCGTCACAGGGTTACACCTTCAGCCTTGGCTCTGGCTCTGTTTCTTGGCGGTCTACACGCTCGTCTTCTGTTCTCAGCTCTAGTTGTGAGGCTGAGATCTACGCCACAGCCATGGCTGCACAGAAGCTACGCTGGCTCACCTACCTGCTGACCGACTTGGGAGAGAGGCCTCGTTCTCCACCAGTTCTGTACGTTGACAACAAGGCTGCCATTGCCTTGTGTCAGGACCATAGACTGGAGCACAGAACGAAGCACATCGCTCTGCGTTACTTCCTTGCTTGAGAGTTGCAGCAGTGTGGTCAGCTTCGTGTCGCTCACGTGCCCACCCGGGCCAACACGGCTGATGTGTTCACCAAGGCCCTTCCGACTGGTGATCATCAGCGCTTCTGCACTGCTCTAGGCCTGGTGCCTACGTTTCCTCACTTGCTGTAGACTTTGGTTGTACTGTGATCTATATATATATACCTGCATGTTTACTCTTGCTAGGTAGTGATCACTGTACTGTTGTTGTTGCATATATACCTCTTCATGTGAACTGGCCTTGTGACCCTCTTGCTTGTGCTCGGAGTGTGTGGTGACGTTGTGATCCACCCTGAGCTTGCATTGCTTTTCTTGACTGGTCTTGTGACCCCTTGTTCTCCCCCACTTTGCCTATGGGGGTGTGTCAAACTATATATATGCTTTATAATTGGGTGTAGGCTGTACTGGGGTAGCCAATGTGGGGTACAACCCCTTTAGGTTTATACTTGTACCAAACTCTCTCCATAGTCAACCATCCTTGCTACTTCTCTTAACAAGGGGGCAGGGGGTGATGGAATGGGGAGGTGGGGAAGGGGGCAGAGAGGCAGAGAGGAGAGTGTGTTAGGCGGTGAAAAAAAGGATGACGGTACAGAGCAGAGGATGGGCACTACCATGCGCAGCTGCATGCTCACCAATAGGGGGGGAGTAGGGGGTGACGGAATGGGGCGATGGGGTGAGGAAGAGGACAGAGAGGAGCGGAATGGGGAGATGGGGTGAGGAAGACGACAGAGAGGAGCGGAATGCAGAGATGGGGGTAGGAGGAGAAGAGGAGAGCACTCGCATGTCGAGGTCCGGGACGAAACGAAACTGGACATTAGTGGTTGCAGGGGGGAATTGGACATGGCTGCAGGGGGTGACCCTGATCTGATTCTTAGTGGAAAGGCATAGGGGCTTCGTGGGAGGAGAGGAGGAAAGGAGGGAGAGTGCGGTGCAAGCCATGGAAGGAGCCGCAAGCAAGCACGCACACAAACTTCTGAGACGTCTCAAGAGTGTGGGCCATGAAGCCGCAAGCACGCAGACAGGCGGGTGGCTACCCGTGTACCGTACAGCGCTCCTACTTTTTTGAGAGAGAGAGAGAAAAATAATGGCCTTGAGCAGAGCCCGAGCAGTCGAGGCGCCTCAGAAATCGACCGCTAAGCGCACCTGCAGCGAGGGGTAAAAAACCAACTCCCTCATGCGGACCCCTCACGCGTGAACAAGAGATCCCTGAACACTGAGCACACCTGCGGAATTCACTTTTGAGAATTTTCAAAAGTGATTTCAACAAGAGAGCCCTCCCCGCTCTGAGCGCACCTGCGGTGGCTGCCCACGTAGACAGCCCAGAGCGCACCTGTAGTGAGGGGTAACGATTTTGACCCCTCACGCGTCACGCGTTAACAAGCTGAGCGCGGCGCACCTGCGGTGGCTGCCCACGTAGATGGCCCAGAGCGCGAGCAGGCCGAAGTACAGTGGCGCGGACCACTGGCAGCGCGGTAGCGCGGGCACCACGGGCACCGACAGCAGCAGTGCGGAGATAAACTCTACCACGGTGGGAGCTAGACTATGGGGTAGGCACGAGTTGTCAGAGTGATCGTAGCTCTGTCTGTGTTCTCTAGGACTTGTGTTTTCACAGGGAAAAACAACAAGGAAAGTTGAGAATACAGAGAGTTCAGAATGAGAACAAGCAATGGCAAGAATTGACTACATCACATGCAAGGTTTGCTAGTGCTCAGGCAGGTCGATCTCCAGCACGACAAAGTGGTCGACATGCCAACGTAGCAAGTCTGCGGTCCGCCAACGCATCTCGTACGCGACTTGCCAACGCTGCAGATGGCGGCCTGCCAACGCTGCACCCGCGCGGCTTGCCAACGCTGCATCCACGCGGCTTGCCAGCACTGCATCCGCAGGTGATTGTAAGCGCATGTGCAAGCACCTACTTCGCAGGTGCTTGTAGACAGTTATGCACGACGTGCACTGTCGCGTACATTGCGCAGGTTGTCAGCCACATGCTGACGGTTGCACATGATGAGCCACGTCGACCACGTGCTGCCACGTCGGTCGACTTCGCCACAGCAACTTCGACGACGTTCGCGACCCTCCGCAGAACCTCATCGAGCAGGTAACTTGGTCAACCAGATAAAGTCCCTGGCAACCCTGCAGGAAGACGACCTTCGTCGACCACCTCTGTCGACCACCTCGGTCGACATTCCAAAATGTCAGCTCCTCATTAGTCGAAATTAGGGCACATTCGAATTTCTGGCCAAAATTTGCCTGTGCAGTCTCAAGGGTGCGCAGGGTCAGACGCGACCCTGCGCAGACGAACACCCACGAACCTCTGTACGAGCTGCGCCACTTGTATATGTGCACGAGACATCAGTGTTGCGCGCGCGGATGCTTGAGTTACTCTTGCATGGATTCCCTAGTACACCTCGTGTACAGGCAACCCTTGTACACCTGCAGAAGGTCGGCTGCACCTCCCGCACACCCGACCACGAAGTCCGTTTTGCCCATGCGAGGGCGGGGCCAACTTCCTTCAACAAGCAGCACGCCCAGCGCCGCCTGGCGGTGGGGGAAGGGGGGAATGCGCGTGGGAGGACGGGGAGAGGGGGGTGCGCGCGTGGGAGGATGGGGGAGGGGGATGCGCGGCGGAGAGGGGAGGGGGGATGCGCGCGTGGGAGGACGGGGAGGGGGGAGTGAGTGGCGGAGGACGAGGTGAGCGGGGGAATGCGTGGCGGAGGGCGGGGAACGGGGAGAAGACCACACGGGTGAGGGATCGGCGAAGGCCCTTCTAAGTCGACCCTTGATTCTTAGGGGAGAAGATGGCACATAGACGTACTACCTTGGGCTCCCACGACGTTGACTCCCTTTCTCTACTTCCGCTGCCGCCTCTTTCCCCGCGACGCCACCGCCGCCAACCGAACCCAATGACGGCTTCCGCTCCGGATACTGCTTCCGATGCTGGAGATTCCGCTGCCCTCGCTTCCGCCGACGACACTTCCGCCGGTGATCGTTCCGCCGGTTGCGGTTCCGCAGAAGTTACTTGGTCCCGCCCGGCGGCGTCCCCTTTCGCTGATCGCACGGCAACTGCCAGGCGGCGACGCGCGCAGCGCAGGGGTCCTCTCGCCGCCGTGGCGGCGGGGTGGGCGACTCGGCGGGATAAGGGAATTGGGGCAGTGGCGGTGCCATGGGAAGCGGAGATGCGGAGAGGAGCGGAAATCGAGGTAGCGATGGGCAACGACGAAGCGTGCGCGGAGGAGAGGCGGGAGACGGCTGACGGATACGACAGCCGCGGACTGGCAAGGGCGCTTGCCGTGGAGACTAGCGGCGTGTGGTGGGATACGGCCATGGCTTTTACAAGGCGGCTGATGGACGGTACACGACTCGAGTGCGCTAGTTTCGAGTGACGAACATTGCTGAAAGTAGAGGGGAGAAGCGGTCAGGAGCCGTGGTGATGGGAGCTGCTCCTCTCGGATTGGTGCGGGAAACTGACGAGCTATTTGATGGAGATGGATATAATTTTCGTGAGCAAGCCTTCAAATGACAGGAGGTAGTATCATTAATAAGTCTTATGTTTATAAGAATAAGAAGTAACTAGTGGAAAACTGGAAATTATGTCTGTTTCTGGTATAAATCATACTGCACGAAGATATACTGTTAATTAGTATCATCTCTGATTGTAGTAATGATACCAATACAAACAATATCCAGCTATGTTACCAAAGATAAAGATCAGCCTAAGTTGCTGGTATTACCTGTAGGGTGTCCAGAAAATATTTGAAGGAACAGTCACGGCGGGTGGGTTCATTGACTGAAATGTACCTAAACACTCACACCATGTGGCATAGGTACTGAACAGACGGTTCCGATGGAGACACGTCTCACTCTTACCTGAGATCGAATGCTCTCATTCGCGGTTGTGGAGCATGACAAGGCAATTGCAACCCAGAGATACATGCTGATTAGATGGAAATTTTGGCGGGAGTTTCCGAACACGCAAGCACACGTATTGAGAGGCTCTTGCCACGTAGCCGACGACAGCGACTGGCTGCGGGAGTTTCGTGGGGTGAAGGCGTGGTGATATAAAGATGCGGTATAAGGCGATATAAAGAGGTTCTTTCGATACGGTAGCCATCAAACTACGAAAAATGCACCCAAGGGTGGTTTGAGGCAGGGGCAGAAAACAAACTACACCTTCCCAACCAAACCCTGTCGAAGCGCGTGGGAAGGTCGACCCTCCAGGAATGTGTTGCAGGCTGGGGTGCACGAGGTGCAATGAAGACGTGGCGTGCAGAGTGGAGTTGGGATAGGAAATATCATCGGTAGTTACCGAGTTAATTTGTTGATGTGTGACCGGGCAGGAATCGCGACAATTATGCGAGATGTCGCGAGCTGCGCTCCAGTACGAGCCTTGGAGGTCAATTCCTTGCTGGGCTGCACCAAGGTAGTGTGGTGCACTGGGTTGCCATGTATTTCCGCCTGCCTAGAAGATTCTCAACATGGTGCACTGCCTTACCTTGAAAGCTCCTTACTCTCTCCCCCAGGTCTGAAATGGCCCGAAATTGTACCCAGAAGAGACAATGTATTGCGTACTGGGCGTTTGTTCCCAGTAACAGTGCCGAATCAGTTGAACCCGCATGATCCCTCCAAGTACACTAGTAGTCCAGCATTTCGTTGCGCATGCCATTGCCATCAGGGTTTAGGGTGCCATCGCCATCAGTACCTCGCCACGATTGTCGCCAGCTTCATGATGACGCAGTCGTCGCCTTGCCACCGCCATTATTCGCTGTTGCGCCGTCGCCCGCCCGCCCCACGTGACTTTGCGATAGAGCTAGTCATACTACTATCACTAGTGGTTGTAGTGGTGTTTTCAACGCTTCCCGTCGGATCGGCGCAACTGTACTATCATGGCGGCGACTCATACAAGCCGTCGCGCATCTCGCGACATGCATTTATCGACTCTCACGTGTCGTACGTGTCGCGCAAGTCGCACGGGTCCCACCCGTCGCACTGGTCGCACGTCGCCGAGCGGCGTCGCCACGGCAGTCGTTCCCAACATCATCGCACGAGCCTACTAGAGATCTCTACCGCGACACCGACCCCGTGCCCACCCGCCGCCGGGCCCCTACTCGAGGACACACAGCGTAAGCCCGGCCCCTCTCGTGCCCCCCGCTCCGTCGTATCCGTGGGTATTTTGAAAGGCATGAGGAAGGGGAGAGAGGAGGGGGGGGGGGGGGGGGGGGGGTGGAAGAGGGAGTGGGGGGGGGGACGGCATCCGAAAATTGACGGGTTCAGAAACTTACTTTCGAGGGCTGAAAACTAACTGGAGCAGAAGTTACTGGTGAACTTGCTTTTGACGCGACTCACTCAAGGTCGCAGGCTGCGATTTTCCCAAATCATGGGAACCAATCGAAGTAAATTCGGATTAGGCTCGGCAAAGCATTTGATTCGTTTAACCCAGGGGCTCGCGCTTCGGGATTGAGCGTCGAAATTTCCCGCGCAGCTCCTCGGCCAATCGCATTGTTCCGCGTCTTGTTTTTTGATTCGTTCTAATTCTGACACCCGCGCCATGTCACTCAATATTGTACATAAGGGTTATCGGATGGTTTTGTTTTCAGTTTGTTAAACATGGAATGCACTTTCAGGAATTTGTGATAATACTGTTTGATTAATTTAGATAACACTGTACATGCTTTGTTAAAGTTACAATTTGGAAACGGCGTTATATAATATTCACAATTCATTATTGTAGCACCCAATATTGCATATTATTCGTAGTACACTTTTAGTAGCACTATAATAGAGAAACTTTTTATTACGGATATAATATTTTGTTTTTTATTAAATATAAGCGCTACAAAATGCAACCAGTACACTACTGCATAAATAATCTTTTAAAACCTGCTACACCTGACACTACAGACGCACACGTGACATATCACTCAGGCCATCCGCACTAATAAACACAACAGTGCTAGACGAAAAGGCCCATGCATTTCCGGCCTCGTTCCACCACGGTCCGTCGGCATCCGTGCGTGACACAATGGCAGCCCTTGCCCAGTTGCGCAGATTGGAGTAATACAACTCCATTTGGTTGCGGTTCTTTTTGGAGCCTCGGGATTTATCCTGGTTGTTGTTGAGCACTCTGTGTTCAACCTAAGGGGGAGAGGGACGATGGGAAAGGGATGGATAAGGTGGGAGGGGAGGGGCGGGAGGAGAGGAAGGTGGGGATGGGCTGATGGGCTGATGGGCTCCCTCTACCGTGCTCCGTGAAAAAGCCTCTGGTTGCGGCACGAAGGCGTAACACCGAGAACTCGGGGAGATGGGCTGGTAGGTGGGAGAACGTGGGGAAGCGAGGGGAGGGGAGGATGGGGAAGGGGGAGTATGGCTAGGGGGGAAGTGATGCATGTTTGCAAGTCTCCCCCCTGGTTGCAGCACAGCACAGAGGTTGTGCGTGTTATCAGCACTCCCGAAGCTCCGTAGAGGGTCCCTGCTGGGTCAACACACCCAGCACCACAAGGGCTGCAGAAGCAACAGTAGAAGAAACAGCAGCAGTAGCAGCAGCAGGAACAGCAAGGAAAAGCAGCCAGGCTGCGTGAAAGTCCACCAGTCAGGTTCCTTCCCAGAATGCCCACACGACCTGCGGAGGACATCATGGGGCAAGGGAGGGGGGGGAGCAACGAGGCGGAGGACAGGATGAGTGGGGAGAGGGCGCGGGGGCTGCAAATCAGTGAGCATCAGCAGCACAAGCAATGAAATCGGCAGCAACAGCAGGGCAGCAGTAGCAAGCAAGCAGTGACGGCAGCAGCAGTAGCAAGCAAGCAGTGACGGCAGCAGCAGTAGCAAGCAAGCAGTGACGGCAGCAGCAGTAGCAAGCAAGCGGTGACGGCCGCCTTGGCTGCACGTCTTGCATTCTCCTCCTCCTTCCGCTTCCGGAACCTGTCAATAAGATCCGTGGAAAACCCTCTGGTTGCAGTGCGAAGGCGTGACAATGAGAGCTCGGGGAGATGGGCTGATAGGTGGGGTAGGAAGGGGAGGGGGGGAAGGAGAGGAAGGTAAAAACTAAGAACGCCTCGTCCGACTAGTTGCTGCCCAAAGTGTGACACCGAGAGCTCGACAGATGGGCTGATAGGTGGGAGGGCACAGGCAAAGTGAGAGGGGGGAAGACGGAATTGGAGGAAGTGGGGAGAGGGGAGAGGGGGAGGAGAAGTAGTGGGGGGGGTGTGGGTGAGGGCAGAGGGCATGACATATGGGAGAGTCACAAATGCTTCACTTTCCTATCAGCCCTACCCATTTTTCATTATGCCTGATCACAACCTACCACCTCCTCACTGTGGCAATCAGAACAGCATTGAGCTCAACCTGCACTTCTGTGCACTTACCCCATGTAGCCAAAAAGCCAAAAGCTTCAATGGGAGGACTATTTGGCTCGTTGTAGGCCGAGTGAAGGATGCCGTGACTGCATCCACAAAGACATCACTACTAAACGGCAATTTTCCATCCTCCTTATGCCATGAGGTCATGGAGAACGTTGCCGTGCCTGCCATAGGTGTGCCAACCAGAAAAAAGGATGAGGGGTGCATAGGGCGGGGATGAAACGTGTGTACCAGCTGGTTGAACACGTGAAGTTGGCATGAGGTCATGTGTGCAGGACGAATTCATGGTGGAAAGTTTTCTGAAGATTGGCATAGGGCAATGGTTGGAGAATATATTGCAAACGATGTACAGTGCAGTGGGCTATTCCTTAGGATGGGCAGATAGGGGCAGGGGGGATGGGGCAGGGGGGAGAAGGGAGGGGGAGATACGCCACCATCACGTGTAAGATCGGCAGAAAACTTCACATGGTGCCAAGGGAAGAATAATTGTACAGGGAGTACAGAAACACACATGGAAGGCACGAGCTACAAATACAACCCATAAAATCCCATACGTACTTGCGCTGAATTTTGCAAGGAAAGCCTCACGAGTAAGGCTTCCCTTCTCCTCCCGTCCTGGTGTAGGCCGGTTGACCAGAAGATCGAAGCTTTCGTACACGCTCCGCCGGCCCTTGGTAAGCACCTGGTTCCGCCACGCTGCGACACGGGCGCGTAGGGACTTTCGAAAATTCTTGTCAAGTTCGTACACCAAGGCCAGGTGTGTCCGCTGCTCATCAGTTGTCCACTCGAGGGCCGTAAACACTGCATCCAGCAACTTCTCATTTGAAGGCCACATGTTGAAGTCAGCGTGGTTTGTTTGGAAGAACAAGATGTCGTTCGCCTTCTTCATGTACTCCTGGCAAGGAGAAACGGGAAGGAGTAATGGCAAGGGTCATCGATGGAAAGTTATAGCTTAAGGTTTGAAAAACAAATAGCGTAGCAGTAAGTGACAAGACATGCAGCCATAATCAAAACACTCCAACAATGTAGCAACACAAAGAACGTGGCAGGACAATTTGAATGATGAAGGGGAGAACTGCATGAAACTTACTGTGATGGAAGCGTCATCATCAGGCACGGCGTTGAATGCCCGTATTACAAGGGCAGCCCAGGACCTCTGGTTCGGAGTGAGTGTCTCGAAATCCACGACTCGGCCATGACGGTACTCTCGCGCAACCTCTCTCTGAAACGCACGCTGCGACCTCGGCCACGATCTCCGTCGTTGGGGCATAACAGCAGGGGCTGCAACGCTATTATCCCTCACATGTTGGAGCCCATGACGTTGCTCTGCCCCACCGCCATTGTTAGCATTGCGGCGCTGCAGCTGCGCTTTCAACTCCAAATTCTCCCTTGCCAGCTCCCGGTTGCGTGCACATTCAGCATCGTAAAGAGCTCGTGGCACCGTGTCCGTGGCTGGACGGCTCACACGAGCATCACGAGCTCTCTGGGCAGATTGCTGTCCAGGGGCATGCGCTTGTTGTGGTGCAGCAATTGGGGTGGAAGATGGCACATAAGCAGCGGTGGGCATGTGGGTGGGTCCAACGGATGACATAGGGGCTGGATGGTGTGATGATGAGGGCAACGGGTAAGCGGTGGAAGGTTGGAAAGCTGTGGGCAATGAGGATGAGGGTGGCTGGCCAGATGATGGCCGCTGGGAAGAGCTGGGTGGGGCAGAGGAGTTGGGTGGCTGAAGGTTAGGCCCTAAGCCTGCCTCCGCTTCGGTGTTGCTGTTGCGCGCAAGAGGTGCTGGAGTGTCGATAAAATCATCACTGTCCCAGTCACTCTCTTCTGATTCCGAATCACGGAAAGAATCCCCTTCGGATAACGATTCATCATCAAAAGAACCAGGTCCTTCTTGGCAATTCACACCCACAGTGTGATTGTCATTGGCTGCATCCACATGCATCCCAGGGATGCGAAGCAGCCCCGTAGCAGCACTGGACAAGCCTTGCATAAAGCTCGGTAAAGGCTGGAAAGGTAAGGGCTGGGAAGGCAATGTCTGAGAAGGCACGGGCTGGGAAGGCAAGGTCTGAGAAGGCACGGGCTGAGAAGGCAAGGTCTGAGAATGCACGGGCTGAGAAGGCAAGGTCTGAGAATGCACGGGCTGAGAAGGCAAGGTCTGAGAATGCACGGGCTGAGAAGGCAAGGTCTGAGAAGGCACGGGCTGAGAAGGCAAGGTCTGAGAATGCACGGGCTGAGAAGGCAAGGTCTGAGAATGCACGGGCTGAGAAGGCAAGGTCTGAGAATGCACGGGCTGAGAAGGCAAGGTCTGAGAATGCACGGGCTGAGAAGGCAAGGTCTGAGAATGCACGGGCTGAGAAGGCAAGGTCTGAGAATGCACGGGCTGGGAAGGCAAGGTCTGAGAATGCACGGGCTGAGAAGGCAAGGTCTGAGAATGCACGGGCTGAGAAGGCAAGGTCTGAGAAGGCACGGGCTGAGAAGGCAAGGTCTGAGACGGCACGGGCTGAGGATGCAAGGTCTGAAAATGCACGGGCTGAGAAAGCAAGGTCTGAGAATGCACAGGCTGAGAAGGCAAGGTCTGAGAATGCACGGGCTGAGAAGGCAAGGTCTGAGAATGCACGGGCTGAGAAGGCAAGGTCTGAGAATGCACGGGCTGAGAAGGCAAGGTCTGAGAATGCACGGGCTGGGAAGGTAAGGTTTGAGAACGCACGGGCTGAGAAAGCAAGGACTGAGAATGCACGGGCTGAGAAGGCAAGGTCTGAGAAGGCACGGGCTGAGAAGGCAAGGTCTGAGAATGCACGGGCTGAGAATGCAAGGTCTGAGAATGCACGGGCTGAGAAGGCAAGGTGTGAGAATGCACGGGCTGAGAAGGCAAGGTCTGAGAATGCACGGGCTGAGAAGGCAAGGTCTGAGAATGCACTGGCTGAGAAGGCAAGGTCTGAGAATGCACGGGCTGAGAAGGCAAGGACTGAGAATGCACGGGCTGAGAAGGTAAGGTTTGAGAACGCACGGGCTGAGAAAGCAAGGACTGAGAATGCACGGGCTGAGAAGGCAAGGTCTGAGAAGGCACGGGCTGAGAAGGCAAGGACTGAGAATGCACGGGCTGATAAGGCAAGGTCTGAGAATGCACGGGCTGAGAAGGCTGGGACTGGTAAGTCAAATGCTGAGAAGATAAAAGCGGGGATGGGGAGGGCTGGGAAGGTAGGGTCTGACCAGGCAAGGGCTGGGAAGGCTGTGATTGGGAAATCAAGAGCTGAGAAGATAAGAGCGGGGAAGGTGAGGGCTGCGAAGGTACGGGCTGGGAAGGCAAGGTCTGCGAAGGCAAAGGCCAGGAAGGCTGGGACTGGGAAATCAAAAGCTGAGAAGATAAGAGCGGGGAAGGTGAGGGCTGCGAAGGTACGGGCTGGGAAGGCAAGGTCTGCGAAGGCAAAGGTCGGGAAGGCCGGGACTGGGAAATCAAAAGCTGAGAAGATAAGAGCGGGGAAGGTGAGGGCTGCGAAGGTACGGGCTGGGAAGGCATGGTCTGCGAAGGCAAAGGCCGGGAAGGCTGGGACTGGGAAATCAAGAGCTGAGAACCAACTGGTGAGCGCACATCTGCAGTGTGGCTGCTTGTGGGCTTGCTGCAATGGAGCCTCCGGGATGCACGTTTTGCTATCAGATATTATGGCTTTGTAGGCACACTTCTAACATCTTCAACCCCGGGACACCATCACTTGACGTCGCCTAGAGGCAGAAATCTCCACAAGGAAATGGTGATGGCAGTCGCTCGCTAACCATGATTCGACGCCGTAGTGAGTGGTCTACGCTCTTACCGCACAAGAGCTGCGTTGATCTTTCAGGGGCTTACGTAATTCATAGTGGTACTTGTTTCTCCTGGCCACTGTGTGCAGAACCCTGTTCGATATGGATTTTTATGCTTGCAGGTTCTGTAGGAAGCGCTTTAGTTGTGTAAACTCCGTATCAAATCACGAAAGAACTCACGATGATGATCCTCTCCCAGAATATCGTAGGAGCCCTAGTATCCTAGTTCCAACATACTCAGGTGTAGATTGGAGTACCCTACCCAGCCCAGACGATCCAGTAGATGAGTCCATACCCGAGAGTGTTGATAGTGGGGTGGAGGATGTGCTGCCTGATGCAGAATTCTACCCAGCCGCAGCTTTCTTTGCTGACGATGAAGAAGAGGAAGCAACTTTTGATACACGTTTTGAGGTGTTTAGATTCATTGCGCACTGCAACCGTGGGGCTGGGCTTAGTGGACCTGATGTTGTAGAGTTTTTCCGCCTACTCAACCACCCTAAGTTTGATAGGCAAGCAATAGCTGACTGGGCTGGGAAGGCGGCGGTTGACAAATTTGCCGAGGAAGAGCTCGGGATTGAGAAGATTAAATTCAAAAAGACCGAGAGCAGGGTTACGGGATGGCCGAAGACTTTCACCGTCAAGTTCCTTGATGGGGTTGAGGTAAGTTGACAGTTCTTCTAAACAATGTCTCCTCCGTCATTGGAAGATCACTATCATACCTTCGCTAACGCGCAGGCATTGAGGCGCATGTGGGCGGATCCTAGAAACGCCCCTGGGTTCGTACATCGTGCGGCAGAGAAGCTGGATGTCAACAAAAAGAGAGTGTACGCCGAGGCACACACTGCATCATTCTGGATTGATTCTCAGGTATGGATCTTGCATGTCGATGTACGGGTTAACATGCCCATAACTTGTACGATCCGGCTCTACCGTGGAACTGCCCATGGTTACGTGGCATCTCAGCGACTACGTTAGCGCGCTGCCTCAATTTCATCCCTGGTTGCGTTTACAAAGTGCCCTTACAAGATCTAGTGCTGGTGTTGTCAATGGTGTGGCCCACTTCGCCCTCACACTTCACTGTAATTGGCAATCAGTGTGTTAATCTTGAAATGTGTTTGGCAGGATGGGCTTGGTCCGCGGGAGTGCATCTGTCCACTCATTATCTCAAGTGATGAGACTCATTTGAGTGGTAATGAGAGGTGCAGAGCTTGGCCAGTATACTTGTCCTTTGCCAATCTACCGCTTAGCACCAGGTGGCAGGAACATGGGCATGCCCTGATTGCTCTCCTACCGTTGCCGGATCCTGAAATGGAGCCAAGTCAAAAGACGGAGCTCTTCCAGAAATGCTGTGAAGTTGTGCTCAAGTCCCTTGACGCAGCATGCAAAGAGTAAGTTGTTGTTCGATTCTTGATAATTCCGATAATTTGAATAGCTAGTAACAAGATGTGAGGGCTGTGTTTCATGCACCACCCTGATCCATTCAACCCTTTCCATTGTAGATCCATTCCACTTCTTGATCCGGCCGGTGAGGCTTACACCGTGTGGCCCAAGATGTTTGTGTATGTAGCGGACTATCCTGAAACGTGCAAAGTCACTTGCACGTTGCAACACGCATCAGCTCGTCCATGCTCCATATGTGAGGTCACCATTAAGGACCTTGACAACATGAAAGTGGGTGCTCCGGTACGCAATGTGGAGGATCAACAACGATACTCTAGAGACGAGAGCCTTGCAAAGGAGTATTCCACCCACATGACTAAGGTATGAGATTGTGTAAACAACACTATAAATTGCATGGTTGAGTGTTGACATACACTTACATTTAGTGCTAAGTCCACGAAACCTCCGGTATTTGTCAGTGCTTCTTGTGGCACTTCGGGCGTGCAGAGGACCGGACGAAACCCTGGGGAAACCCTTTCAACACCATCATGCCCGACATCCTACATGTCATTCTCATGGAGATTTGGCTTTACGTGTTGGAGTGTTTATTACGCAAGAACAAGCACCACAAGACCATGAACTTGTACGTCTCAATCGGTTTTAGAATATGCCGCCGGTGGTTGGAGTTCTCGTTACCCCGATGACCATGCTTACCGAAATTTCATATGCGATGCTTCTCCAGGCGGCATGGGGAAGAGTACAGGAAGACCTTGTTGGCAGGTCTAAAAATCCCGCCACCTGGCCGTTATTTCAGTTCTGGAGCTAACTACTCTGCCGCAGAGCACGCCGCCATGATGAGGGTTGGTACCATAAGCCTGTGCACTATGAACAATATATCTATGAGTTGCTGTGTTTCTTATCCCTGGCGTTTGGTCCTACATTATATTCTTATTACCCCTCGTTGACTTGACAAATGGGCATGTGCGTCACATTGTAGGTCACGCTGTTCATCATGGAGGGCTTGATTACAGACGCAGCTTTCTATGTGCTACGTTATTTCGTAGCATGGTTCGACAAATACTTCCGTGCCAAAGAGTATACCGAGAAAGACCTTGATGATTATCTGATCGACACTGAAGAGTAAGTCTTCTAACATGGGCTTCATTTTATACATTAATTTGGATTGAACAGTTCCAAATGTCCGGCCTTTTCTAATCCTCAACCCTCCCATACACCCTATCCAGACTTGTGCGCCTGCTGAAAACACAATTCCCCCGAAAGGGCCGTGGGTGGAAGCTTGTCAAAATCCACCTTCTGTCTCATTTCCCGGATGCAATTCGGCGAGGTGGTGCACCTGGAGAATACAGCACCAGCCTGTATGAACATGCGCATACCACATCTTGCAAGCAGCCGTTTAGAGCATCTAACTATCGGCAGTATGATGAAGCTATCCTACGCAGTGCTCGTATGCGGGAGGCACTCTGCAACATGCCGTCTGCCATTGAGGGACCGCGATCCTATGAAACTGCACTTGTGCAGGTATGCATGTACAATTTTGGGAACACTCTGACCAAGCCGAGTATGTGAGAACCGAATTTGGGGTGACTTCTGTTGGCATGCTGCTGATGGGTGAATTCTGTTAACATGCTAGCATATGGAACCATTGTGCTAGCACTCCTGCCCTACGGTGAATTCTGTTTGCATGCTGCCATATGGTGAGTTCTGTTAGTATGTTGCTATGGGGTGAATTCTGTTAGTATGCTGCTATGGGGTGAATTCTGTTAGTATGCTGCTATGGGGTGAATTCTGTTAGTATGTTGCTATGGGGTGAATTCTGATAGTATGCTGCTATGGGGTGAATTCTGTTAGTATGCTGCTATGGGGTGAATTCTGTTAGTATGCTGCTATGGGGTGAATTCTGTTAGTATGCTGCTATGGGGGGAATTCTGTTGCTGCTATGGGGTGAATTCCGTTAGTATGTTGCTATGGGGTGAATTCTGATAGTATGCTGCTATGGGGTGAATTCTGATAGTATGGTGTTGTGGGGTGAATTCTGTTAGTATGCTGCTATGGGGTGAATTCTGTTAGTATGCTGCTATGGGGTGAATTCTGTTAGTATGCTGCTATGGGGTGAATTCAGTTGCTGGTATGGGGTGAATTCTGTTAGTATGCTGCTATGGGGTGAATTCTGTTGCTGCTATGGGGTGAATTCAGTTGCTGCTATGGGGTGAATTCAGTTGCTGCTATGGGTTGAATGTTGTGAGGATGCTGCTATGGGTTGTATGTTGTAAGCATAGCATGGTGATGTGGGTTGATTTTTGTTAGGATGCAGCTATGGTAGCAAGGTGCTATGGGCTGAGTCTCCCCCTCTCTCTCACTCAGTCACTCTCGAACGGTCCTTCGTTCTAATAGCAGCAGTTGACAAACAAGGCAAGGCAAAAATTCTCTCTCTCTCTCACTCTTTCTCTCTCACTCCCTCTCCGTCTATCTCTCTCACCCCCCCCGTATCTCTAAGCCCCCCCGCCCCCCCCTCTCCTCTCTCTCTCTCCCCCTCTCTGTCTTGACCCCATCTGGACACAACAGGCTGATAGAGTTCGCGCCCCTGTGATGAGTGCAAGCCATAAGATCATTGAGGCACCTCTTGGTCTTCATGGCAAGCGAGGACAAGAGCTATGGCAGAGCTATGTCGTGTGCCATCCCGAAGGGATGGCGAGGTTTCAGCAAATTCTGACTGATGCTGGTCATTCCGTTCAAGACCTCCTTGTAAGCCAACACATCCGCTTGTGTGCTGGTAGTCTACGTCACTCATCTCTAATTCCTTCAGCCCTCGCGGATGCTGGTCAACTTGTGCATTGCGTGTGCCGCGGATGCTGGTCAACTTGCATTGCGTGTGCCGGTAAGGACAGTCGCCGGTAATTGTCGCTAATTGCAGCACATTTATTTCCCCCCCTAAACAGGTACATACTGCAGTGGCGTTGCCAACTACACCCGAGAGAGAGTGCCACTATGCACGGGCAAATCCAAGCTACCATGGCATGCCTGCATTTTCACATGCAGCGATGCTGGGGAATGCCATTGGTACAGATGGAAGTCGGACCCGTGTACTATGGTATGTCAAGGTGCTGCTGTTGTTTCACTTGAAGGGGGGGCAATCCAGCGCAGGGGTGAATGGCTTGGCGTATGTGCAATTCTATGACTCCAATGGATGCGACCCTAAAACTTGCTGCCAATCACTCGTCGATGCTCCACTCACCCAACGATACTATGTGGTGGACGTTAGATCTCTCGTGCGAGCGATTCATGTCGTGCGGTCGTACGATCGGCGGGGGCTTTACTATCTTAACCATTTTGTGACAAAATAAATATGCGATTCTGATTTGCTGACGCATGAATCATGGCGCTAATTCTGTCGATGCGCCGTTTAATCGAACACGATATTCTATAATGCTCAAGGAATTTTGATTGACAGGTCATATGTTGAATTTTAATGTGGCATGTGACCCAATTTGCTTATTGAACATACTTTAACAAATGATGATGCAACCTGTACTTGTATCTACTTGTTTAATTGAACAAAGTTGTATTACTTGATTCAAATATTCAGTACAGCATGGTAAGTGAACATTCCAATGCACAAATCGAACACTGTTCATAACGCACTGACTTGCAAAAATCGCATCGCTGTGGGAGATAAACAGTGTCCCGCCATTTCACGAACTGACGTTTTTGGTCGCAGAGCAAACGCGACGCG